TTATAAAGTTAATTATCACACATGCAATTTAAAGCCAGACTAACAGACCAAAGAACATATAAAACATGTAAGATAATTGTACTAAATCAAGGTACATTTTAAATGTGTTATCCATGCTGGATTATACTACTTTTTTCTCCTTTTTCCTGTTATCTGCCTTTTATTTCGTAACGTACGCTTCTATGTATGAGTTACTTCATGTAACATTATGCTTTTGGGCTAGGGCTATGGCTCAGTGGTAGAGCTCTTGCTTTTAATGCACAAGACCCCAAGTTCAATCCCCAGCACTGCAAAACAAAGCAAAACATTGTGCTCTCAAGATGCATCTACTTTCCTACAAATGACATGTTTGTCCCTCTTTATGCCACAGCACTATTGTTGGTGGGGTTTTTTTTTGTTTTTTTTTTGTCTTTTTCCTTTTTATCGGTACCAGGGATCGAACTCACGACTGCCTGCTTGCAAGGCAGGCACTTACGCCGCTGAGCTAAATTCCCAGCCCCACCCACAGTACTATTGTGTAAAAACACATTTCTTTATCTGTTATCTTTATCCATTATCTGTTGATGGACCTACAGGCTGTTTCTAAGATTTGGCTGTTTTGGGTTGCACTGCTATAAACATGGATATACATCACTGTGGTGTGATGTCTTTATCTCCATTGGGAAGATACCCAGAAGGAAATAGCTGGATCAAATGGAGTTTCTATTTTTAGTTTTTGAGGAATTTCCATACTGATTTCCATAGTAGTTGTATCAGTTTACAGTCTCAACAGCAGTGAAGTTTCTTTCTCTCCACAGCTTCACCTGTATTGGGTACTACACTTGATCTTAGCCAAAAGACCAAGAAGCAATCACCCATATTTGTTATTGGTTAATTTCTTGATTGTAATCATTTTTTCTGGAGATGACATTTCAGTGTTATTTTAATTTGCATTTTTTGAATGGTCAGTGATGTTGAACATTTTATGTATTTATTGGCTGACTATATTTATTCATCTGACAAGTGTCTATTCATTTAAGATGCCTTTTTATTGGTTCTTTAGTTCTTTATATATTCTAGATATTAGTCCTTTGTCTAAGGAGTAGCTGGCAAAAAATTTTTTTCCCATTCTGTAGGCTGTCTCTTCACTCAGTTGCCAATTTCATTTCCTTTGCTGTGCGAGAACTAGTTCTTGAGTCTTTTTCTTCGCTCTAATCATTACAATCTCCTTCCTCATACTAGCTTTGGATGTTGACTGTTCTTGTTTTTCTAGGACCTTGAGGCGTATCATTAGATTTGGGCTTGCTCTATCTGATATGGGAATTCACAGCTATCAATTTTCTGTTGAGAATTGCTTTTGTTTTGTCCCATAAGTTTTACTGGCACTATTTGATTCTAGGAAATAACAATTTCATCTTTGATCCCTTTTATGACACAGATTATTCAGAAACATATTAATTTTCTTGTGGTTTGTAGTTTTTGTGGCTTCTTTTGCCATTGATTTCTAGTTTCATTGTGCTATGCTTTGATAATATACGAGATAATTTCAATTCCTTTGCATTTTTTTTTTCATTTTGAAAAGGCTTTTTCCCAAATATTATTCTAAATAAATGTCTTACAAACAAGGGTTAATATGAGTTGGAAACAATCTATATAAGAAAACCATTTTTACAGAATAATTTTAACAAAAGACACCTTTATCAAGCTGTGGCTGTGTCTTTTGCATTTTCTTAAACAAGCTTTATAGGCTAATATGTGGCCTGTGTTGGAGAAAGTTCCATATGCTACTGAGAAAAACGTGTATTTTTGGTTGTTGAATGGAATACTGTAGGTATCTATTAAGCCCATTTGTTTGGTTTGGCTCAACCCTGCTATTTCTTAGTTGATTTTTTTATTTTTGTCCAGTTGATCTGTTTGTGGCACTAGAAGTGTGTTTATACTTGTCCGATCTTGTTGTGCTTGTTTTATGAAGATGGGTATGCTGGTCTTTGATCCATACATGTTTATAATTATTATTCCTTTTTGTTGAATTGTACTCTCAATAAATATGTTAGGTTTCACGTTTGTCCAATTCTCCTTTTGTAATTTATTTCTAATTTCATCTTATTGTGCTTAAAAAGATGGTATGATTATAATCTTAAATTTAAGACTTGTCTTGTGTCTTAAAATGTGATCTCTCCTGAAAATGTTTCACATGCGCTAAGAATTTTCTCTTGCTGTTGAGTGGAATGTTTTGGATTTGTCTGTTAGGTTTTAATAGGTCTACCATATTTTTCAAATACTTGTTTCCTTATTGATGTTCTCTCTGGTTGTTATTGTAACTATTATTGGAAATGGGGGATTTAAATCTGAGTATTTCACTTCTGTCAAAATTTGATTCTTATATTTGATGTTCTGATATTAAGTATACATGTTCTATCATCTTGGTGAAATGATCGATCATTACAGTGACTTAACGTCTTTTATGATACAAACACGACCATTCTTGTTCTCTTGTGATTACCATTTGCATGTGCTATCTGTTTCTATCCTTTCATTTTCAGCTTGGTGTCAACTTAGGAACCTAAAGTGAAGTTTCTTATACATAGTGGATCTTATTTTCTTAGCCACTGAGCCATTCTGTTTTTTAACTGGGGACATCTAACCATTTATATTTTAAGCAATTAAACAGCACTTATTCTTGACATTTTGGTTATTGCTTTCTGTACCTCTTTTAATTCTTTTGTTTCTTTCCTATTCTTGGTCATCCTGTGTTTCTTTCTTTCTTTTTTTTTTAAGTAATGATATGCTATGATTCCCTTCTCATATTCTTTTATACATCTTCCATAGGTGTTTTTTTATCCCACTTTTACTTTATTACTCATGTCGCAAATTACATCTTCTTGCATTTTGTATCATTAACATTTTATAGTCAGTTATTTTTCATGCTTTTATCTTTTAAATTCTATATCAGAATTAAAAATGAAAACTGGGTGTGGTGGCTCATGCCTATAATCCCAGCACTTGGGAGGCTGAGGCAGGAGGACCGTTGCAAATTTGAGACCAGCCTGGACTACAAAGTGAGGCTAAGACCAGCCTGAACTGCATAGTGAGATTCTGTCTCAAAAAGGCAAATAAATAAATAAATTAATTAAAAAGAATTAAAATGATTTTTGCATCACCCATCATATTGAGGGATTGTATACTTACATATTTATTTTTACTAGAGGTTTATACTTTTCATGTTGCTACCTAACATCTTTTCATGTTTAAGAGATCCTTTTAGTAGTTTTTATTAAAGCATGTCCAGCAATGAGTTCCCTTTTTTGGGGGACAGGGTTTCACTAGGAGGTTTAGGCTGGCCTTGAATTCACTTTGTAGCCCAGACTGACCTCAAACTCCCAGCAATCCTCCTGCTTTGGCCTTCCAAGTGCTGGGATTACAAGTGTGTGCTGCTATGCCTCATTTTCCCTTAGTTTTATTTTTTTAATTTTATTTTAAAGAGAATAAAATCAAACAAAATAAAATAGAATAAAGCCAATCAAAATAAAACAGTGAAAGCGATACAAGACTTCAAAACTGGATAATAGGAAATCAACAAAGGCTACCATAATGCCTTGTTATTTTCAAAATTGCTGCCCATACCATCCAACATAATAAAGTCAAACAAAATAAAACCAATCAAAACAGAACATTAAATAAAACAAAACAGTGAGAACAATATTGGATTTCAAAAACAAGACAAGCAAATCCCTCACTGTTGCTATACAGCATAGTTATTCTCTAAATAGCTGCGCAGCCTACCAGCTTTAGGCCTACAAAGTCAATCAAACAATACAAGCATTAGTTGATATCAACTCAGCCTGTGTTCCTCTCAATCAGCCAGTTGCTTAGGGGGTTGGCGGAGGTGAGGCTCTTGTTTCCCAGCCTGCGCACTAGCTGGCTCACAGAAAGGGCAAACTGGCTTCTTGTTTCTCTTCCTGGGCCCTGCATGGCTGTGCTGGTTCACAAGAAGGGTAAATTACTCCCTTAAAGTCTTCTTTCTTCTTGATTGAGGGACAGTTTTGCCACATACAGTATATTTTGTGTTTCACATAACTTTATTCTCTTCCTTCAATCAAATTACATGATATTCAGATTTTGACCCTAATCAGTGGATCTATAAGTAGAAATATCCATTTTACTCACAGGCAAGCAAATGCTGCTTCTTGAAATGGTCTTACCATGGACCCTCTGGTCATGCAACCCAAGTCGCCCCTACACCTAGCTTTATCTTCACTATATAATGTGGCTACTTCATTGAATATCATTCTGGACTTTAACCTTTCCATGGCTTCCATGATTTTGCCATGTTTTTCACATAGTATGTGACTGACCTTTACTGAATTGCCATCCACTTTGGGTCCCTGAACCTTATCAGCAATGTCATTCTCAGAGGCTGGTCCCCCTTCCCCATTTTCCAGAACCACTTCTCCCTTTGGGAAGCATCTTTAGAACCTACATTGAACTCCAGATACAATATTCTTGGCAGTTTTTCTTATAGCACTTTGAATGTATCAAGCCATTTCCTGGTCTATTGTATTTCTGTTGAGAGAAAAATATTGATAATCCTATGGAAGCTCCCTTGCACACAAGTTGTTTTTTTCTTGCGGAGTTTCATATTCTCTAACAGCTTGATTATGTTTCAATGTAGCACTCTTTGAGTTCATTTAAGAGTGCTTTGAACTTCTTGAATTTAGATGTCTATTTTCTTCCGTAGACTGGCAAGTTTTGGGGCCACTGTTTCTTGAAATACATTATTTGCTTCATTCTCATTTTTTTTTTTTTTTCTGTTTTTAACGGTACCAGGGATCGAACTCACGACTGCCTGCTTGCAAGTCAGGCGCTTATGCTGCTGAGCTAAACCTCCAGCCCCATCTGCTTCATTCTCAAACTCCCAGAATGTACATATTGGTCTGTTTAATGGTCTCCCAAGTCTCTAAAATCAATTATATTCTCAGAAAAGAGAATTGTCTATCACCTTTATCTTGGATTCAGCTTACCTCAAATTACGGACTAGTTTGCAAAAGAAGACTGCATGGGCACAGGCCTCAATCATTAGTCCCCGAGAACGGCCCCGCAGATAAAGCCAGGAACGATCTTCCTCTGAAATCCCGTTTTCAAACTGCAGGGACTTAAGGTCTTCTAATACATCCATTTCCAAGCCACCATATCCTGCAGTGACACATACCAATCAATGTGGCTCTCTATCCTGGAAGAGCAAAGACTTAGGCTGGAGGGCTTCTGTATGATGATGTTATGCTGAGGTCACAAGTGCTTGTGATGGTAAGACTTACCACCTCTCTCATTCAAATTCAGGCTACAGGCATTTTTTTCAGCAGATGAATTTCCATTAGCAACAGGTTTCAGAGATGTTCTTGGGCCACGATGGCCTCCCCTCCATGTTCTAAGCTTCAGAACTATGACCAAACACACAGGACCTCATTTCAAAGGAACTCTCCCTTTTCCCTAAACTATTTTCCCTTAAGATAAAAAAGAACCCCAGCTAAATATCACTGTCCTTTATCTAGGGCCAAGACATCTAAATTTAAAAAAATCAACCTTGGGGTATATAAGCTCATCTATATACATCTCTCACTAACTAAACAGATCACCTAGCACCACACACCTGTCAGTGGCCAGGCTCTGCTCCTCAGTACTGCTGATCCAGGCAGACAAAAAAAATTGTATTCCTAAGAATTACACAAGAAAGTTGTCATTATGACTCCTTAGCTGCCAGATCACTTCAGTGTGACTTTTAATGGTGTCAGGCCACGTATAGGTTTTCTGACCTGAACATGAGGATACAAGTTCCTTTCACTGTTTGTAGGCATATTATCCCAGCCCAGTAATCCCAACACAAGATTCTGGGTTTGTAGGGGTTTATTTTACAGACTAAAATATCATGCATATCTTTCCAACCTCTTTTTTGTATTTGAGAAATCAGTAATCAATTTTATAGTAATGATGAAATTAAGACCAGAATTTGAAACTACTTAAGTCTCTAATCCTCTTGTTAAATTTAAAAACAAAAACACTGAGGTGAAATTCACCTGACATAAAATTAGCCATTTTATGCCAGGCGTGGTGGTGCACACTGTAAACCCAACACTTGGGAGGCTGAGGCAGGTCACCACAAGGCCAGCCTGGTTACACAGATCAAGGCCAGTCTGAACTATAGTGAGATTCCCATCTCAAAAAAAAAATTGTTTTTCACTTTAAAGTGAACCATTTAGTGGTACATTCAGAATGCTATGCTACTTACCTCTAACACTAGAACAAGAAAACCCTATTAAGCATCAGCTTCCTATCCTTTTGCACCCCAAGTCCTTAGAATCATCAATTTGCTATCTATAGATATACTGTACCTTCCCCAAGTATTTCATATTAATGAAATTATACAATGTGGGACCTTTTGTCTGGCTTCTCTAAAGCCTCTTATAGTAAGGATATTATGCCACAGGTTAGTGTAACCTCATAAGCCATGTCCCTAGCACTTAGATGAAAAGTATGGAAGTTTTTTTTAGCAAATCTAAGAAACATTTCCTTATTTGGAAACAATGTGGTAGGGCATCCTAATTTGCAAGTGATGTGTCCTGCTTAAAAAAAAAAAAAAAAAAATTTTTTTTTTTTTTAAGATCAGCTTGACTAATGTAGCACATATTCAGTTGAACAGACATGAATTCTAGGCCCAGCCTTCATGCATTCTTAAAAACAGAGACTCGGGGCGGTGGGGGGGGGGGGGAGGATTTAGCTCAGTGGCACAAGCACCTGCTTGGCAAGGTCATGAGTTTGATCCACTGTACCACCAGAAAAAAAAAAAAAAAGAAAATTAAAGAAAAGAAACAAACAAACAACAAAAACCAGAGACTCAGTTGTAGCACTGTAATATGCAATATGACTTAGTTTGGTTAGGTTGAACTCTTCTCCAGAATTTCCTTCCTTGTGTATTTTTTGCTTATGGTGAACCATAGGATATCTTTGTGTAAAATTTAAAAAGTGGAAATGAAACAGCAACTAGTTTGTTTCAGCTCACAAGCGTGGGGCATGCACTTCTGTAGGTCACACACATGTTGCCAATTTGTTGGCTACCTTGCGGGTGTGGGATAGCAGTTGGGCCTGTAACTGCTATTCCTTCCCCTAGACACTCTTACAGTTGCTTATTCCCAAGCCAACAGCTTCTCCTGCAGGATACTCAGTCCATCAAAGTTGGAGGTGGTGAGGATACAGGTGAGTCTTGGCCTGTTTTCAGGTTTCTGGCTTGTCCATTCTATCACTTTATATCTTTTTCCCTTCTGGACTGCCTGCCCCATGACTTTCAAGCTCTACCACCAGAAACAAAAATAATCATTTTAGCCAGGCGTGATGGCACACCTCTGTAATCCTAGCACTTGGGAGGCTGAGGCAGGAGGATCATTGCAAGTTTGAGACCAGCTTGGGCTACAAAGCGACCTCAAGGCCAGCCTGAACTGCATAGCAAGACCTGTCTCAAAAAGACAAATTAAAAAAATCATTTTATTGGGGCTGGGGGTTTAGCTCAGCAGCATAAGCGCCTGCCTTGCAAGTGTGTGGTCCTGAGTTCGATCCCTGGTACTGATGAAAAAGGAAAAAGACAAAAAAAAAAAAATCATTTTATGAAACTGTTTATCCATTTCCCACACCTAAGTAAGATTCCTGGGCCGGGGATTTAGCTCAGTGGCCTAAGTGCCTGCCTTGCAAGTACGCGGTCGTGAGTTCAATCCCTGGTACCAAAAAAAAAAAGATTCCTGAAACAAATGTTAGATTGGACAATGTATATACACTGCTAGTGGTTCTGCTTTTCTGAAATACTAGTTAGTAAATTACCACTGTTTGTGTGAAGATAAGCAAATAACTTTAACACAATTAAAGTCCTATTTCCTCAACAGCAAAGATAATCAGGAAAGAAACTAAGTATGAACTTACCTGAAATTGCAAAGGTGATTATAAAATGGAGAAGCAAAAAAGTACAATCTAATTCCCTTAAAACTGGGTTTCTCAGGGCCAGAGTTTAGCTCAGCAGCACAAGTGCCTGTCTGGCAAGTGCAAAGTCATAAAGTTTGATGGGTTTCTCATTATTGGCAATACTAACATTTTGGACAGATAATTTGTTGGATTCTGTCCTGTGCATTATAAGAGTATTTAGCAGAATCCCTTGCCTCTCCCAAGAGTAGCAATAAAAATATCTTCAGATATTGCGGAGGTCCCAGCTGAGAACCATGTTACCATAAAGCATACTGTGTACCTCTAAGGGAGCATCATCTCCTTTCCTGCTACCACTTCAACCAGAAGTAAAGAACTCTACAAGGTCATAGACTACCCTGCCCCATTTTTCAGATGAAGGTGAATCCAGAAAGAAAAAGACTCACCCAGCACCACACAGCATGTAAGTGGCAGAACTGGGAAAACCAGTCAGGTCTTCTGTCTCCCAGCTCAGTGCTCTGTTAACCATCCAGCCCAATTCTGCCATAACCTGCCTGACAGGAGCTAAGAGGCCACTACATGCAGTCATGAACACAGACCAGATACTGAACAATCATTTCACCATTCTGCACGAAATGACTGGGCAAGGAAGAGAAGGCACCAAGGACAAAATGGCTTTATTAGGAGTCTAGGCATGTCCGGAAAGCCCAGCTGAGTCACAGAAAAGAGGCTGACATTGGTGCAGGGCAGAAACTAGCATTACAGAACATCCTTTCAAAAGTCGAGTGTGAATATAAAACCTCCATCTATATATTCTCACAGATATGCTGCCCAGATGAAACTTCTGAACCCTTCTGGCGAAATAAATAATGAAATCTTCCTAAAGGGGAAAACTCTCCAGCACTGCTGGAGATCCATGTAAATTGTGGATCTGGGAGAGAAGAAGAAGAGGGCTATTTTATTACCCAAACAAGGTCATCTCAGTGTGCAGCTGAGAGAGGAACCCTAAATTTTTGGACAAATTGTAGACTGAAGCAGCAGCGGGACACTTGCTGAAGAAACACAACATCTGGGCAATGTCTGTCACAAAGTGGAGGGCTCTGCGCAGTCTAGCTTAGGTGTGACTCCAGCAGGGCCTGACAATACTGGCACCCTTCCTGGGGTGCTTGGAAGACAGTCATGTAGGTTCTGTTGTGACTTCCTTCACAGCAAAACTGTTAATGCCCATAATTAGCTTAATAGAATGGAGTAGCCACCCTGTGACACCTCTTCCTCTTAGTCTGGGAAACATCCTTTTTGAAGCAGTCACTTTTCTCAAACCAAGAAAGATCTTACCCAATATTGACTCCCACCTTCACTTGAGCACCAGGTAGAGAGTATCCTTCTCTTGAGTCAAAGTGTTAGATCTTGGCCCTTAGATGATGTGCCTTAGACAGAAAAATCAGTCTGAAGCTACGTGTGCCAGGGGCTGGTTTCTGTTCCAAGAGTGGGCACTGCCCGCCGATGAGGGGCCCCAGTGACGTGATGCTGTAACTCTCCTGAAGAAGAGCTCTCTACTTTCATAGACAGGAGGGGAAGAAATGAGGCAGGTTTCAGGGAGGCTAGTGCCCCTCAATTCTTCCATCGAATTTGCTGTGGGAAGAGCAAACAATGAACATGTGTGATCAGTTTCCACTTATCCTTACACAGTAGAGGGAATATAGTAAATCAAGGCTCATAAGGAACTGATACTAGAAAAAGAAAAAGAAGGGTTAAACTGGGGAGAATTTTTTTTTTAATACTTTGGTGTGTTCACTTGGGAAGAGATGGATTAAACATCTTTCTGTATTTTACAGAAGGTCTGATTTAGGGCACTTACTCTAGTCTGTTCTCCTCAGGACCAAGATCCTCTAGCTTTATGTTAGCATCTCGTACATGTTAAGAAACTAAGTTCCATGATAACAGAAAGCTCAGTAATTTCATACTATGAGAGACGAACCAGCTGTACTCTCCAAACAACAGGTGTCTATTTTAGTCTTATTTCCAAAAGGTAAACTGCATCCATTCTCAGGAAATTATACAGTCTGGATATTCTGAATCTGTGACATTTGTTTTATAGTTGTAAGTCTCTGCTAAGTTTAACAATAACCAAAGCATCACAGTCAAATCTCAATCTGAGGCTTGTAGATACCCTTCCATTAGCCTGCACTTCAGGAGCAATTACTTCTGTTTGTAGCAGTGCTTCTGACATCTGAGGCCATAGGCAAATCTTATATTCATGTGGCCCACTTAGTCCTGGAAGCACATATTTGATACTACTTTGTGAGCCATCTACGTCCCAGGATCACGAGGGGTACATGTATAGCCGCTCACCGAGCTGCTGAGAATGGCATCAATTTTCTCCTCCTCTGCAGATCCTTTGTCTACCTTGCTCCTATACGCAAGCAACTGCTGACGATCCTTCAGGTCTCGGTAGGTCTGTGCAACAAAACAGATAATACAAACCCAACCCAGCCTTCTCTATGAGGGGACTGTTATTTTTTTTGTCACTCTCACATTGACCCAAAGTTCAAGGAGAGGACAAGAGGCTACAGTGGGATAAAAGTTAGGTCACCTACAGTACGCTGTACCCAGTTCTCTTTAGGAGCTATTACCTGACAGGGGCACTGTTTTTGTGCAGTGAGATAACATGAAGTAAGGTACCCACAGAACTTCATTCTGGAGTGAAGTCGGCAGAGCTTTTTCACTTAATCAGTTCTGATTACTCTAAATGCAACGAATTATAAAAGCACAGCGAAACCTACCAGAATGCTGGGAAATTATGACTATGGATCTCTTGTCTCTGTCTAATCAATCAAAACTCATACAATCATTTCAGGATTTTTTTTTTTTTTTTTTTTGGGTACCAGGAATCAAACTCATGGCCTTGCACAAGCTAGGCAGGTACTGTGGCCCTGAGCTATATCCCCAGATCCTTTTGTTTTGTGTTTTAAGACAGGGTCTCACTATGTAGGTGAGTCTGGTCCTGAACTCTCTATGTAGCCCTGGGTGCCCTTCAACTCACAGTAATCCTCCTGACTAATCCCTTCCAAATGCTGGGATTACAGGCATGCAACACCACACCTGGTTTCTATTTCAGGATTTTTAACAGGGAATATTGTAATCCCCCACTATCCTCCTAGGATTGGACTCAGGTTCTCGTTTGTTGGGAACTCACATCAATGACAACATCATGGCACTTGAACTTCGTGGCTAAATTCAACTTTGTGTCCACATCTTCCACCAGATTGACATACTCTTGTAAAATCTGCGGGAAAAGATACTTCTGATTAAATGATTCTCAGACCTATAAAACCCAAAACTCTACAAATAGGGGGAAAAAGTTCGAAAGAAGGCAAATTAGTTTAGTATCTAACGTTTACAATTCCTACCATCAACAATAAAACTAGTCTGGTAATAGGCAATGAGAGGACACTAGGCAGCACGTCCCTGCTGCCTCAGGAGAGAAGGGAAGGAGCACAAACCTCCTCTTCATACAGCCAGATTCACAGGGCCCCTTTCTAGAGCTATCCCATGCTGTCCCCATTGTTCCTTCACGTCCCTTCTTAGCAAGTTCTCTTCAGGGATCATTTAAACTGTACATCAGTTCTCCACATGACTAAACATACTAGATGCTCCTCCTAGAGGGCACAGTCTGGGATTAAACATTCTAAAGGGAACAGAACATGCCTCACTAGGCTTTTCTATCTCAAAGCCCAGTGCAGCAAACAATATGCTGCCATTAAGGGAAAACCAGAATGGATCAAGCCTCCATCGCTGAACGATAATGGGCTAAAAATCAGGTCACCTACAGTACCCTGTACTCACTTCTCTTTAGGAGCTGTTACCTGGACAGGGGCACTGTTTTTGTGCAAAATTTCCACAACTCGATGGAAGCCAATGGGTGCTCGCTTCTTCGTGTATCCCAACCAGTTCTGAAAAATGAAGGTGGGAGAACTATGTGTAGGCCAAACACAGTCAACACACTCCGAGCTGGTCTCTCTGTGGTCAGAGCAGAGTAATGTGGAAGAAAGGTGAGTACACGGGGGAGAGGAATAAGAAATGGTGAGAGATGAAGTCCTCAAAAAGTCCAAGTATTTTAGAGGTGAGAAAGAGTCAAAGGCATAAAACAAAGTTCTTAGAGTTTTAGACACTACCTGTGAAAAAAGTCTGTGAAATACTAATAAATGAGGTATTACTTCTATAAATTTATCTGTGTAGATAAATCGTAATTTCGGCAAAGACATAGAAGTTAGGATTTATCTACATAGATGTTCACTTATAAATTCATGAAGAAAGGTTTGGAAAGCTACTGATCAGACTTTTAATAGTGTTCACCTTAAAGAAGGTGCTGAGGGAAGGTAGACAATGAAAGAGAAACTTTTAAAAAAAGCTTTTTTGGGCCTGAGATTTAGCTCAGCGGCATAAGCACCTGCCTGGCAAGCATGAGGTTGTGAGTTTGATCCCCGGTTAAAAAACAAAAAAACTTTTTGGCCAGCCGTGGTAGCACACAGGGAGACAGAGACAGGAAAATCACTGCGAGTTTAACACCAGCCTGGGCTACAAAGTTAGTTTAAGGCCAGTCTAAACTACATAGCGAGACTCTGTCTCAAAAAACATATAAATAAATAAATAAATAAATAAATAAACATTTTTTAAAAACCCAACTTTTTATTGAATGCTAGGAATACAATCAACCCCTGAGCCACATTCTCCAATCTTTTCACTACATATAACCATGTTTGATTTTGATAGATATATTTGGCTTTGGTAGTCATATAATTAATTAACAAGGAGGAAAAACAAAATTCTCAAACCCATAATATAAAAAAATTGATACTTAAAATATATACTGATTTACATGGAATTACAAACAATCCCAAAGAGCCAAAGAAATCCTTAGAAAGAAAAACAGGGACTTCCGGGAGAACATGGCGGGGGACTTCCGGGAGAACATGGCGGACAGATAACAGCAACTACCAGAGGCTCTCTGAAAGACTCGGCTCAGAAGCCAGGAATGGTGCGGACTAAGGAGACATAAGCAGGTGGAGATATGCTCTGCTGACTCAGGAACGAACTGGGCTGAGAGAAGCCAACTTAGAATGCAGTCCTGGTGCTAAAACAGGAACAGAAAAGACTCGGTGTGGAGGCTGGAACCGCGCCATTGTAAGCCGCGATTTGGGTTTCCCGCCGCGCGGCGGCTGGCTGCCTCTACAGTGGCTCGGCAAGGAGAGAGACGCACAGAAGCTCTGAGAACGGCAATCTGCAAACGGCAGGGAGGCGTGCACTGACTTGTGGTGAGGTGAGTGAGAGAAACTGACACTCTACCACAGTTTGACTCCAGCAGAGGACTTTCTGGGCCCGAGCAGTCCTGCGGGAGCAGGGCGCGGTGGCGACTCCTGCCACACATCCCCCTCTCGGGCTGGATTGGTGAAAAGTGCCTGGCCTGCGTGACGCTGCCGGCGGACCTGGTAGGCTGTCCCAACCCAGATCCCAGAGCCTGACGGTGGC